CAAAGCCTTTGTCTTAAGAAACTTGGTACCATCAAATATTTCACTTATTCAATTCTAATCTGACACAGTAAAATGTGTATGCATGATTTTGCAAAGATCCATGGCTGAAGAGGTTGTCAGTTCTAAACAGCACCACCCAGAGAAAATGAGACGCCCAGAAGACAGGGACTCTGAATGCAGGTCGCAAAGATTTTGAGCTTATTTGTAGCTGCAGCACATCCTAGCTGACCCAGACCAGTAGAAATAATATATTCTATTTATGACACTTGTTGCCTTATAGGCGCTTTGTTATATATTTTGTTTCTCCTTATTCATTTTCGTAGCTTTATTATGAAACAACACATAGTAGAAGAAACTGTAATCATGTACGAGAACTTTAAAGTTAAAAATTAGTTTACAAAGTTAAGATAGCTACACGTGGTGACAAAATTAGTATAATGTAATTCAGTTCAGTGTATCTACTGAGCCATAAAGGTCTGTGGCATGTTCTGTGCTGTCAATACGATGTGAGTTGGTAATATTAACACTGATATTATTTATGATTATGAATAAGATGATACTAATAGTTTTTAACAACATTAGTACTTTTAGTTGCCTAGCTACAGTATTATGAGCCAACTGGCCTCTGTCCCAAGTTCCTGGCACAGAGCTCCTGAAACCTTTACAATTTCTGAGGTGGCAAGAACACTGGGAGCACCCCTTGTTCTAATATTCGTCCTTGACTCCACGCCTGACACAGGGCTCCTAAAACCCTGGCAAACCTCTAAGTGATGAGAGCATTAGGAGCATCTGTTGTTCTCATGAGTTGACTCGGAGTGGGCTTCTGGATGAACTGTGGGTGGAGGCTGCTCACCAGAACCAAGACATGATCAGAAACTTGTGATTCCCATTCCTATCTCTTATCCTCCAGACAGGGGAGACCAGCTGGAAAAGGAGTTAATGTTTGTGCCTATATTCCCGGTTGGCACTAGTGGTCAAGAACCCGCCTGACAATGCAAGAGACATGGGTTCGATCCCTGGGTCGGGAAGATCCCCTGGAGGAGGGAATGGCCACCCACTCCAGGATCCTTGCCTGGAGAATCCCACAGACAGAGGAGGCTGGCAGGCAACAGTCCCTGGGGTCTCACAGAGTCAGACACGACTGAAGCGACGTAGCATGCATGCATGTGCCTATAAGTCTCCATAATATCCCAATAGTGCAAGTTTGGGGAGCCTCCCACCGGGTAAACACATCAGATCAGCAGGGTAATAACCCACCCCAACCACACGGGGGCAGAAGCTCCTGCACTCCGGACCCACCCAGACCTAGTCCTATGTAACTCTTCATCTGGCTGTTCAGCTGAATCCTTTATCATATACTCTGATAAACTGGTAAATGCATTTAAGTGTTTCCCTGAGTTCTGTGACCTGCTCTAGAAAATTAACTGAACCCAAGCAGAGGGTTGGATCATTGGACCTTCCAATCTATGGCCAGTAGATCAGAAGCACGGGGGATACCCTGAGCTTGTGACTACTGGCATTTTAAGCTCACATGTGTGCATTCGTGTGTGTGTGTGTGCGCGCGTGTGCGTGCGCGTGCGTAGGGCGGGGGAGGGGCGGCAGTCTTATGGGACCTGGTGCCTAATTAATCTATGGGGTCTGACACCATCTCCAGGGACACAGTATCAGAACGGAGTTAAGTTGCAGGGCACCCGGGTGGTGTTGCGGAGAATTCCTGAGCCTGGGAAAAGTCTCCATACATGTGGTGACCAGAAGCGTTGTAAGTGACATGTTCTGTATGCAAGTAAAGGAGACTCACAGAGAAGTGACTCACACTAGGGAAGAACAAGACTTTTCTCTGCACAGGAGGAAGGAAAAACTGAGATTCTCCTTTGCAAATATACTAACTGAACACTTCATGCTGATTTATTTCCGTATGAAAATATCAAGAAATAATATGATGATGTCTAGAGGTCTGGTCTTCAGAATATCAAGGCACAAATGTTCTCAATCTCTTAAACTTGCCAAATTATAAACTAGGAAAATATCTTACACTTAAAATAACAGTACCAAATGCTTTTATAGAGAACTATATTTTCCAGTTACCTTACATCCATTATTTCAACTAATCCTCACAATAGCCTCTGATGTAGACACTAATGATTTACTGATTCTTTGCATACAGAAACTGAGGCTACAAAATATTGATGTGACTTTTCCATGGTCACACTAAGATGATCTGATAAATGAGTTTATGAGAAATTTTCTTTGATATGCATATAAATAAACTGAAGTTAACTTTATTTTCCAGCTTGCCAACCAGGATTTTGATACCAAACATTTCTCTCCATCTATAGTAATGTCTATAATGTAGAAACTTGTTCAATAAAAGATATATCCAGTCATGATAAGTTTTCTAAAAAGCTTCCATTTCCCCCCATATGACAACAATTTGATGACATTAGCATCATTAGATTTTTACTGATGGTAAAGAACATGACACTCAATATAAAGTAGAAAGTTCCATTTCCTCCTTCAAGAAAAGAAAGAAAGTCAGCTACCACGGAGAACATTATGGAGGTTGTGTGAGATACTAAAAATAGAGTTACCAGGTCCAGTGGGATCCAACAACCCCACTCTTGGGCATATGTCCTAAGAAAACCATGATTTGAAAAGATGCATGCACCCCAGTGTTCATGCATGGTTTATAATAACCACAACAGGGAAAGAGCCCAAGTATCTGCCACCAGATGAGCGGATAAAGGAGATGCAGTATGTGCACATGATGGAACATTACTCAGCCATGAAAAAGGATGGAATCACGCCATCTGCAGTAACATGGACAGACAGTTTATCATACTAAGTGAAGAAAGTCAGGCAGAGAAAGACAAGTACCTTATGATATCTCTTACATGTGAAGTCTAAAAAATATGATACAAAGACATTTATTTATAAAACAGAAACAGATTCAGACACAGAAAGCAAACTTTTGCTACCAAAGGGGTGGGATAAGTCAGGAGTTTGAGATTAAGAGGTGTGCACTATTATATATAAAAGAAACAACAAGGTCTTATTGTATAGTACAGGGAACTATATTCAAAATCTTACAATAACTCATAACAGAAAACAATCTAAAACAAATACATATATATAGATATAGATATAGATATGGATCACTTTGTTGTTAACCTAAAACTAGCACAACAGTGAAAATTGATATATTTCAATTAAAAAAAGAAAAAAAAATGGAGGAAAATAATTTTTTCTTTTTAAAAAGAGACAAGATATTTGATGGCAACTCCAGTCAACCCATGCAAGAATGTAGCGATTAATTTAGCTGGACATTTTCCTTCATATTTTGCTGATATTTCCTATCTCCATTTTTATTTACTAATATTGGAATAACTTCACTTAAGTGCCACCACCTGATAATCTTATCCAAGTAACATGCAATTAACCCCTCAAAATCATCATCAAATGCATCAACATAGACCTAATTCCAATATCGGGACAACCAGGGTATCACACTGTAGGGTATCCGAAAAGTTAATTTAACTTAGTCCATGATTCTTTCACTGTTTACTTTGCAGTATCAAGTAAAGTAACACAGATGTGATTATTTTAAGGTCATAATAGTTAAGAGATGTTTAGTTTTCCGGTTGAAAGGATGAGTGCTATTTATATACTGTCTCTAATGGACTAGTCTCTTCTTACTGGTTTCAAGGAAATTATTAGAGATGCCAGTGAATTGGTTAGTAAATTCACTTCAGGTCTCAGGGATCATATTTCCCAAGTTGGAAACTTCTATACATATCCATTTTTCCAAGCATTTCAGCCCTATTTGCCGCTTTTAGTCAAAAAGCTATATTATTGACAAAATATTAATTATTCCCAGAATGTTCACGCCTGCTTTGATTATTATTGTTTTCACGTAGAGAACAAAATGAGTCAACTGGTTTGGTAGCTTACTTTGCATCATTCTCTTTGAACTTCAACTTTCTCCTCTAAGATAGAATAGGGTCTTATTAATTCATTTGCAAAGAGAAACATTTTTTTATATCAAAGGATGAAATGAAATATCTAGCTCTGTTAGCAAGTAGGAAAAGATGTAAAAGGCAGCATAATTGGCCTGAAACAGTCTTCTTATTTTAAGCAAACCCACTAATGTACATTGGAAAAGGCCCTTTATAATCATAATAATTCACAAAAAGAACAGTGACCATCCAGTGTTATCTAAATGTGTCTGACTCTCAACGCTCCTCATGCAAATAATAAAATCACCACAAAACCACCACTTCTGTGAACTCGCAAGCAATGCTGATCCATTCAGCCTGTTAAGAAGGCAAGTGTTTATCTTCCTGCCCCATGATTTCAGCAAGGTTATCAACTATATGAAAAACCCAAGGGATTCTGTCCCAATTAACTTACTATTGTGTATTTACACTCTCATTTTTCTCATAGTTTTATTTTCCCGGTATAATTGAGATGTAATAAATGTAGGGCATGTTACAAAATAAAAGCAGGTGAATAAACACCTCCAAATCCAGCTAGAGGAGACTCCCTTTCATCTTAGCCTACTGCTAAGGGAAAAGATTGGATCCACATTTTCTGAACTCTCCCACCTAAATGGGTAAAATGTAGAAGGGATGTGGCATATCCAACTACAGAGCATTAATTTAAGATGACCAAAATCAATCTAAAAGAATAACATCTTTCAAGTTAAAACACACACACATTCATGAACATTTTCTTCAAAAGATAATGACAACAGGGAGAAAATAAATTAGATGTGATGATTCCAGTTCTGGGATGCTAAAATTTTAAATTCAAAATAATTAAGCAATTATGTCAGACATACAAAAAAATTGAGTCATGATAACCAATAGGCTGTCTCACTTCCTAAGCCAGTTAAACTTAGTTTTCTGAATAACAGAAATTATTTTCTACCTTCATTGTGGACAAGATTGATACCCAGCATATAAAGGCTGAAAAAGAATAAGAAATAGCATAAAAGTACTTACAACTGATCGGATGTTATTTTCTTTCACCAGTTTCAGAGACGATTTATAGCAATTTGCAAGGTCTTCCTTGTGGGAACCATTAATATGGCCTCTGGCTATTGGCCCTACAGTGTGGATGACATCTGCAAATGCAAAAGGAAGGAAAAATAGGGTAAATGAGAAATTTTTTGCTTTCCACATAACTGTTGCTTTATTTATTTTAGGTATTTGTTTTAGAGTTTAGAGACAAGCAAGCTAAGAAATATTGATGATGCAAATGCTTCTCTGGTAAAACATTTTAAATAGCATAGCTTTTTAAAGTAGGCAATATTTCAGGAAGGTGATAATTATGAAAAGGAATCCCCTACCAGTAAATTGTTCCATTATTATTGGTCAGATCCAAGCATAACAAATTATAATATAAGATACGAATAATCGCACACTGGCAAAAGACAAATCCTCAGTAGGAGATAAACTGAGAAATAATTGCCTACAAAATGAGCATTCTGAATTGACATGGGAAGGAAGAACCATGTTATATACAAGGTTACATATCACCTTGTATATAAGATAATAGTGTCAGACATCGTAAAAAACTATAAAGAAGGGCAAGTTTCTGAAAAAGTAAAAAAATAAAATAATAATAATCCTAAAAGCAATCATGTTTAAACACCCATAGCAATTTACAATGCAATCTACCAATGCTCACACACACCAGATATGCTGGGGATATCTGGTTCTTAATAACTCCCTAACTTCTAGTTTTCATTATAGTAAATCTCAAAAATCAATGTGTACCTCTCAACCTCTATTTATATTTAAAATACAATATTTAATGTTCTTGCTTTTGCATATAAAACCAGCCAGTCTGGCACACATAAACATTTAAATTTAGGAATTTAATGAAATAGAACTGTCCTCATTTTAAGTTAATAAAGATAGTAAGAACAAAACTAAATTTTAATCCAAATTACTTGAAAAGGACTTTATTACTCCTGCTTCCCAGTTTTATCTGTTAATCTGGATTATCAACTCATTCCACTGATGTGAATAACAAGAACTGATCAACTTTGATAAAAAAGATAAATTCAGTCTAATAGCATTAGAATATTATAATGAAATGAAATTACTTGCTTTGGCTAATTACTACCAGTTAATTTCAAAAACAGTAACAGGAATGAGAATACTTTACTAAAATACAGCTATGGAATAGTTAATGGTTTTAAATTGCATATGAAATTTAAACAGTGGAAAAGAAATCACGAACAGAAAAATCTTTGTTGATTGTCTGCTAAATGTCAAGAGTATTATTTGATGTTGAGGAAATCCCCAAATGTTGATTTCAACTTTTAACAGCTTTAAACAGTATTTAAACCCTTGTTCAGATAATGCTGAAGATGATATCTTGTGATCAAAATAGGCAAAAACCTTATCAGTTAGTTGATGCAGATGTTTATTTCAGACATACCTGGTTCTAAAGTGAGAACTGCTATGATACAGAAAGACAAAATAGAGGGAGATTAGGTTGTATTTAGCATAGGCTTGCATGCACACACACACACACACACACACACACTAATGTTTTTGTGTGTAATAACAAGGATTGCAACATGATTGCAATATGATTTCCCAAATAGGTAAGTAAGATATGGGTTTAAAGTGAAAGTCGTTCAGTCGAGTCTGACTCTTTCTGTCCTCTTTTTGTGGACTATACAGCCCATGGAATTCTCCAGGCCAGAATACTGGAGTGGGTAGCCTTTCCCTTCTCCAGGGGATCTTCCCATTCCAGGGATCGAACCCAAGTCTTCTGCATTGCAGGCAGATTTTTTTACCAGCTGAGCCACAAGCGAAGCCCAAGAATACTGGAGTGAGTAGCCTATCCCTTCTCCAAATGATCTTCCCGATCCAGGAATCAAACCGTGCATTGCAGGTGGATTCTTAACCAACTGATCTATCAGAGAAGCCCCTTGTACCTATATTTAAAGTTTTACCATGATTTTAATATGCAAACTGAGTCCAACCTACCTTATAAGTGGACATGTAGTACAGGATACATCTTAGGTATCTCAGTTACCAAAGAATTTTAGACTGTAGTCAAGAATGTTTAGAGATGAAAGGGACAATATGGAAAATTTAATCCATTTTTCCCTTTCTCAGTGGATCAGTAGGAGAAAGAATTAACGCCCAAAGTCACAGTAGGGAGACACAATGTCACACAGGCAATATGACTGTGAATAAACTTTTCTCAACACAACTGTTTGTTGAAGGAAACAGCACACATTTGTATATATAAAGTTTTCCATGCTTACCATGAATTCTATTACTTTAGCCTCATACTTTGTACACATGCAAATTCTCATTGGCTATCACTATGCAAGAAACTACCCTAAAACTTGGTAACACATTTTTTTTTCCATTTATTGTTATTAGTTGGATGCTAATTACTTTACAATATTGTAGTGGGTTTTGCCATACATTGACATGATACACATCTTATCTTAACAAAAATCACCACGTGATTATTTTTATGGCTTTTCGGATCAAAAATTCTGAGACGTCTCAGCGGGAGGGTCTGGCAGGCGTGGAGCCTCAGGTACAGTCACAGCTGAGCGGCAGCTGAGGCTGAGTCCCAGGGACTCCCCATGGAGGCCCGTGTGGGTTTTCTCATGAAACCTCAGAACAGTCAGATTGCTCACAGGACAGCTCAAGGCTTCAAAACCAAGTGCCAGAACTGGAAGCTGTGTTCTCTTCTCTATCGCAGTCTTGGGACTGACACAGCGTCACCATCACTGTACCCTGGCTAGTTACAACTGTCACACAATTCCACCCATTTCAGGCGGATTGTGGACATGTTTTAACATGGGCACAACGAAGGATGCCCCAGACACCTGGGGCTTTCTTTGGAGTGAGCAGGTTTATCAAAAACAAGTCTTGAGGTAGATGAATAAGATACCATAGGAAAAGCTGATATGATTATTTCCATGCAGCTGTGCATGAAAACAGTATGGGGGTCCTTCAAAAAACTAAAACAGAATGACCATATGATCCAGCAATTATACTTCTGTGTATTTATTCAATGGAAAGAAAAACATCCCAAATAGATATCTGCCCCTCCATGTTCACTGCAGCAGTATTTACAACAGCCCAGCTGGTGGCTCAGCTGGGAAAGAATCCGCCTGCAACGCAGCAGACCCCCATTTGATCCCTGGGTCAGGAAGATCCCCTGGAGAAGGGACAGGCGACCCACTCCAGTATTCGTGGGCTCCCCTGGTGGCTAAGATGGTAAAGAATCCACCTGCAATGCGAGAGACCTGGGTTCGAAAGACCCCCTGGAGGAAGGCAGAGCAACCCACTCCAGTATTCCTGCCTGGAGAATCCCCGTGGATGGAGGAGCCTGGCAGGCTACAGTCCACGGGGTTGCAAAGAGTCGGACATGGCTGAGCAACCAAGCACAAATATATATATTTGGAGAAGGAAATGGCAACCCTCTCCAGTACTCTTGCCCGGAAAATCCCATGGACCAAGGAGCCTGGCAGGCTATCGTCCATGGGGTCAAAAGAGTCAGGCATGACTTAGTGACCAAACCACCACCACTGTATATCACACAAGAAAACAAAAGGACGTATACAGTAAACTATCAGGAAAATGATGCTATCACATGCCAGGTAACCTCTGGAAAACTGCACTGCATACTCAAGAGAGAAAGAGAGGGAAGATGCAAACAATTTCTGAATATTATCATGCACGTGGTACTGATCTCACGAATCCCCTGAGAGAGGCATCCTTAAACCACACTTTGAGAATTGCTGCACTAGAGTTCATTGCTATGCAGACCTCGTAACTAAATATAAATATCGCCACTTCAATGGAAAATTGACACCACTAACTACTATATCTGGTTCTCAAGTTTGAAGAAGCAGTGATCTATTTCAGTTCTACAGGGGAAACTAGATGTACTGGACTTGTGAAGAAATGATACTTCTCTGCTTCAGCTTTTGTATGAGTTAAGGGATTTTAAAAGAGTAATCTTGCATGTGTGTGTATTAAGTTGCTTCAGTCATGTCCAACACTACATGACGTTATGGACTGTAGCCTGCCAGGTTCCCCTGTGCATGGGAGTCTCCAGGCAAGAAAACTGGGGAGGGTTGCCATATCCTTCTCCAGAGGGTCTTCCCAACCCAGGGATCAAACCCGAGTCTCTTAAGTCTCCTGCATTGGCAGGCAGGTTCTTTACCACTAGTGCCACCCAGGAAGCTCAAAAGAATAATTTTAACTGAATGCAAAACTGTCTTTTGGGTCTAAAGTATCTCAGTATTTAGAACCTAATTTCTCTTCCCACTTCTGTGAGACAGTGATCAGATCATTTCTACTTGCCAACATCTTTAGAATAAAAAAGCTCTTGTTAAATCAGCAGTTTGCAAGGACTCAAGAAGTCTAAGATGACTTTGAACTGATTCTGATAGAGAATAAAATGGCAGACTCAGCTTTTTAAACACGAATTCTCCAAGACAACCCAGGATAAGTGAAGAGGGGTCCTTTAGGATCATGCATTCCCAACAGAAGTCATGACCACGGTTTCCTTCCTCATACTTCTTTCATCATAGAATGAGTTGGAAGCTACCAAAGGGAAGGAAACCAGCTAACGTTAAGCCAGATTGGAAGGAATGAGAAAGAGACAGACAATTCAAGAAACGTAAAGGTTCTGGCCAATTTTAATGATGGTTTCAAGGTGGATGGGAGAAAAGAGAGAAAGAGTTGTAATTCATCCTAAGTAACTTCACTCTGGGTGACTGAGGGGATGATAGAAATGGCAAAATCAGAAGAGTAATTGAGACCCAAATTATTGTAGTGTTTGTAAGTCTTCTAGAAATCCATTCTTAACATAAAAATAAAATGCAGAAAGGGGACAAGGATAAGAGAAGGATGAGTAAGAGAAACAAAATGTGTACAGTTGAAGGTAACTAATTTTCCTCTATCAAAGTACATTTTTTCCCCTCCTTCCCAGCTTATTTTGAATCCGACATAGAATCACTCAAGGGAACAGAATATATCACTGAGCCTTTCAAGCATGATTCATTGTGAGGTTAAGATTCAAAGAGGTCAACATGTGCTTCTGCAAGATTATTTAGTGGAAGCTATTAAT